AAAAGACAGTGGTTATGAAAATGGATTTAACCCACACTATGATCTTCATTACATACACAGTTAATCATTTGAAATCTAATTTAGACCGATGACAATCATATTAGATTTATATTAACCCTAGAACTGCAGACAATATAGCTAGGACTCAATCAAAAAGTCTGTTCAAAAAGGCAGAATTCCAGGTAAGAAAATCATATATGGCATTTGCCATTACACATATTTAATTTAAATGTCTGTTAACACTAGAACCGTCAACAGCGTCAGCACCTACATAGATATCATTTTCAAATCATTTAATTTGTTCCTCTTCATAATTTCCTTATAAACTAAGTAGGACGATTTAAAACTCACTTAATTGGGTTAATTTAGAAATGGCTTCAGTTTATCATCATAACAGATCAAAAAGTTCAGATTCATTTTACAATAAATCAAAGAATGATGCACTTCTACAAACAAAAACAACATAATTAAAACATTTAAACAAACTACTAAAAGTAGATGAACTACATTATTCAACAGTTTACAGTAACTTCTGATAATAACACAGGGGAAATAAACGAGGCATCTCTTTTCCTCTCTCTCTCTCTCTATCTCTATCTCTATCTCTCTCCTCTCTCTCCTCTCTCTCATCTCTCTCTCTCTCTCTCTCTCTCTCTCTCTCTCTCTCTCTCTCTCTCTCCTCTCCTCTCTCTCTCTCTCTCTCTCTCTCTCTCTCTCTCTCTCTCTCTCTCTCTCTCTCTCTCCTGACAGCCCGTCAGTATCAGGGTTAGTCAAAATGAATCCCTTGGTGGTTCTAGTGTTCATTTACCGTTTTGTCTTCTCTTTGCAATGCTTAATCGATTTGAAACCAAGTCTAACGTAGCTTAAACTTAACGTTAGCTTTCTAGCTAACACAACACATTCACGCACCTTTCTCTGTGGGTTTTGTTGTAGTGACGAATGAAGTTGGATGTTGTGGTGGTCGTGTCACTGATCTTTATGCTGCAGACCCTGCATACCGCTGTTCTCTTCTTATTAGCGTCATCGACAACATAATCCTTGAATCCAAACTTCACTATTTTTGGAGTAACGCTAGCCGCTGCCATGTTAACTGACACTCCTGCCGTCTAGTGGGTTGCCAGGTTTGCGCGCATGGCGCTATAATCACCCAATCACGTTTTTCGAAAAAACTAAGCGTAATATCTCACTACAAAAACAAACGCAAATATTTAATTTTAAACAGACAAGTCCTTTCAAGTCATCCGTCTCAAGCTTAAGTCAAGTCTCAAGTCATGAATACCAAGTCAAAGTCAAGTCAAGTCTTTTATCAATGTTAGTGCATCCTCAATTTTCTATATTACTGCACATGGCTTATTTTTCATCAATGCATACATGCAGTAAATACATATGAACTCTCTTTTTATTATTTAGAAAGTGCTTCAGAAATCAAGAACATAAATGTCTTGACATTAATTTATAAACCAAAATAAATTAATTGTATATGTCTAGCCTCCCTATATCTGTGTGTGAAGTTGTTCCATCCTCAAAAACAAAAAACTAATGCTTCTGCAGTCTAGCTGCAGCTTCTAGCAACGGTCTTCTGTTAAAGAAAGGACACTGAATGTCCTGAATGTGGCATCACACACAGGACTTGAGTCTGAACACAGCAGACAACAGGAGTATTTACAACAGCATATACAAACAAAAATACTGCATGTGGGTGCACACTTACATTCTCTGTCTTACTGTTACATAATGTATGAGATTAAGTTAGCTTCATTATATCTCAATCAGTGATTAAGTGAATAATAAAGTTTCTATCGGGTCACTATCAGCCTGTCACTCATTATTTTCAGGGAGGGGGCGGGGTTTGGAGGAACGGAGAGGAGACGGTGATCGCGGAAGCTTTTTTCCTCCTGCCTTCACAAACTTTACACACGTATATAATAATATCGTCTGAAAATTGCTAGAGGACATTCATACTCTGCAATCCAAGACTTAATTAAATCCACCTGACATGATTGTAACGCGATTATTTTTGAAAAACATAAATCCTTGTGTCTCTGAGCCGCAGCGACACGGAGTGATTCAGAGCGGGTCCTTCTGCTGTTGGTTCTGGACTGGTGTTCTTGTGTTGGTGGATAAAGCAGACTGCTCCGTGTTTGGTGCCGCTGTGCCGCTGTCAGTCTGTTCCCTGATCTCTGCGTCACAGACCGATTTGATATTAAAGTGACAGAAAAAAAAACATTATAGTAAAGCAGCGGCCGGAAAATCAGGAAGCAACGTTACTACGCTATAATCGGTTATCTTCCGTCACTGCATCGAGACCGAATCGTCCACGTCCGCATCGCAATGCATCGTAGAAACGATTATTTTCAACACCCCTACTGTCCGGACGTCAGGACGGTGGCGCTACGGCTATTGGGCCAACTCCACCAATCAGGAGCAGACAGCCACGGCCATTGCCGTTCGAAAGCGCTGGAGACGCCATAGTACATATGCCAGGCCAGTAGATGGTGCTGTTCTCACTGAATCTGCCCAGAGCTAGAAATTGTCAAATTGAGCAAAATGAGGCATGGCTAAAATGCATGATCTGTTTGGTATTTTGAAAAAAAAAAAAGTATAAATATGCCTTATATAGGTATGGTCCTACACCAGGGGTGGGCAATTATTTTTTCCATGGGGCCACATGAGAAACTGAAAATATTGTGGAGGGCCGGGCCAAAAGGCTGAACTCAATTCTGCATAATATTAATTGTATTTCTTTATAAAAAGCAGTAAATAGCATTGTTTTGACAAGCTGGTAAAGAGTATATGTTATAGTTAAGCAATGAAAAAGTGAGGTTGCCTTACAAAAAAATGTCATTTATTAAATCAAATTTCCCAAAACAATGGTAAACAAAATGAACGTTTTTCACCATTTGTGACTCATATTAGTGAACATTTTCAGTCACATTCACTCAAACACATTTTGAGTTTCATTTACTGTTGGAAAGAGGTTCTTAGCATTCTAAAGACATCACAATATTGTCTTTGTACTCCAAATATTAAGCAAGATACATCATATTGAACTGTCACTAAACATCACTGAACTGTGATTTTGAGAAAAAGGCTTCCAAAGAAAGTGTCCCAGTTCACTGCTAGTTGGTGCCTTTACATGCCAACATTTGTAGTCTAACCACCTCATTTGGTGTTTTTAAGTTCTCTTTTCTTGTTCAGTGAGAGAAATCTAGTCTCTGCTGGGCTTTAACGAGTGCATCAAAGTCAGGTTGAATGTCTGAGGTGGAGATGCGAAGCACAGCTGACAGATGATCATCAGTGAGAGAGGATCTATACCTGGATTTCGTAAACTTCATAATTGAAAATGTTTGTTCACATATGTATGCGTGTCCATGCACTCGTTTACCTCCGTGAACAGATCGCTCCCTGTCGTCGTCCCTTTCATCGACCGCATTGCTGCCAGCTCCTCCGTAATCTTGAAGTCCGGTGTTATCCCGCGGACGAATACGAGTAACTGGGCTGTGTCGCGGACATCACAGCTCTCGTCCAAAGCCAAGGAGAAAAAGTCGTAACTTGCCACATCACGTTGCAGCTGAAGCTCCAGATTCCCCGCAATGTCCTCGATCCTTCTAGTCACGGTTCGCCTGGACAGCGGGACTTGCTCAAATGCGGCTTTTTTTTCAGGGCATATTAGTGCTGCAGAGTCCACCAAGCACTCTTTGACAAACTCCCCCTCCGAGAACGGCTTACTGTTTTTAGCAATTTTGTGGGATATCACAAAGCTGGTCATGGTTGCTGCATCACTGGATGTGTGAAGCTTGGTAAAAAAGCCTTGCTGCTTTTGCAGCTTAGCTAGCAAAGCTTCCGATGTCCGCGCCCTTTCAGCGTCAGTCAAGTTTTTATATTTCTCCGCGTGTTTCGTCTCGTAATGTCGACTCACATTGTACTCCTTAAACACGGCGATCTGCTCCCCGCAAACTAAACACACGGTTTTACCTCCGACTTCAGTAAATAAATACTTAGCAGTCCAATTTTTGTTGAAAACCCTGCATTCAGCATCTACCTTTCTTTTTTTAGCGGACATTTTTTTGAGGGCTAAAGTCGTCTTGTGACAAGGATCCAATAATGTGTACGTCTTGATATACGTATTGCGTCATTATGCACGTGAATAAAAAACAACTTCAAAATAAAAGCAATGCAGCTTTAGTCCATGCATGAGGTAAAGTTAGAAAATATGTTTATTTTGTCATTTCCAATTAGCCTTACACGGGCCGGTCAGAGTCAACCAAAGGGCCGTATGTGGCCCGGGGGCCGTACGATGCCCAGGTCTGTCCTACACTATATTATTCAAATATAGCATGATAGGTCCACTTTAATATAAATAAAAGGGTCGCGTTATAAAACAATTCACTCAACAATTAATAATCATTAAGGTGGAATCTAACTATATCCCGAATAATTTGTATTGCATCCAGGGGTAGAAACATGTTTATTTCTGCTGTAAAGTTGGGCATTTTAACATGGGGGTCTATGGAAATTCCTCCTTTCTGCAGTCATTGCCTATCGGCCAATAGATGAACTGCGGTTTGTGGCACTTCCTTATTGGCGTCCCGGCTCTGCCCCAGAGTTTGCCGCTTGGTCTGCCCTCACGGCTGTGTCTGTCTGCACAGCTGGCTTGCCTGCCCTACTGTGCTTCACCGCTACATTACTGCCTGGCGGGTGTTGCTCTTGGCCTGCGTTGTCTGCATTGCCTCTTGATGTCAATGTGCCTTTGTGTCACCTTGCCCTTCACTACAGGGCCATATTTTATTCACATGTTGATGAAGAAGAGACATGAAGAAGAGGGGACACATGTTGATGTAGAAGAGACATGAAGAAGAGGAGACACATGTTGATGTAGAAGAGACATGAAGAAGAGGGGACACATGTTGATGTAGAGGAGACATGAAGAAGTGGATTTTGCACAATAGGTGACCTTTAATAAAGACAATGGTTAAAACAAATAGTGCAAAATAACTCACCAGCTGCTTCACAGAGTTCTGCTGCTCCTGCATCGCGCTCAGAAACGAGGAGGCCTTCTCCGTCGTGGAGAACTCATCCTGCTCCTGGTCATGGTAACTCAGCAGGCTCAACGTCGTCTAGAGGAACCACGTTCAATTAGAGCGAGGAAACGTACCAGATAGTAGTTGTCTACTCATAACCCTGTTGATTACCGCACAGTTTTATGACAGAAATGTATACTAGGGGTCCCCAGCACATAGAAACTGCCAGATATAAACTTGCATATGCTGGGCAATTTGCACAATTAGTACAAGTTGCATTAATTAGCATTAGTTAAAAGATGGCTTGGCCGATTTGGACAGTTTAGGAGTGGTTTGGGGGGTTATTGAAGATGTTGAATCTATGTCTAACATTTTCAGGATCATAAATGGCAGTTTAAACCAGAAATTACCATATTTGTCTTCTGTGGGCTGATTTCAATGAATTTTGGGTTGATTTTGAGGATTTAGTGGATGCTGGATCGTTTGGGTTGGACAGATTGCTTATATGTTTGAAAATAAATTGTCCACAGTAGAGGTAATAATGTTGATCTGGTGCTCTCTGTATCCAATGGTTGCAACACTACTCATGGTGGTCCCACAGAGAGTACAAACATGGCCACGTTCTGGTTTAAACTGCCATTTTGGGTCCTGAAATGGATATAGAGAGCACAAAATAAAATGTGTTATCCCTACTGTGTTGTTTTTATTTTTATTTAGCTATAATGCTAATAAATGCAACTTGTGCTAATCATGCAAATTCACCAACATATGCAGTTTTCTATGTTCTGGGGACCCGTACATTTATAACATAAAACTTTGGGGTTCTCAACATTTCCGAGTTCACATTACCTCAGCCACATCCCCTCTGAGCTGCATGTGTTGTATGAAAAGTGCTATAAATAAAGCTTTATTATTATTATTATGACATCAAGTCAAATTCCTCGTACCTGGTAATATTCTGATTCTGATTCAACTATGTTTCTCTTCTCTGAACAATGGATTCCCAACGGATATTTAATATGTAATATTCCATCCGTCACATACTTATGTAAATATAATAACTTGCTTTATATCTTGTTATTGTCAATTTGTAAATTCAACATGGATATTTTCTACTTTCGTGTTTATTTCTAGTCTTTTAATTTTTACTGTACAATGCCATGTCTTTTTATGCTGCTGCAACACAAACATTTCCCACATTGGGATCAATAAAGTACTTCTTACAAACATATTTTGAGATTGACAATAAAGTTGACTTTGACTTCTTATCTTTTCTCTGCCCACCTGGTTGGGCAGGTCAGGCTTCCTGCTGAACATGAGGGAGTAGGGGCTGAACTTGGTGGTGGGGTTGCTGGACGTTCTGAACAGAAACAGCACCGGGTCCAGGAAGTCGTCCCATTGGCTCTGCTTCTCCGCCACCATCTGCTCCACGGCCTCCTTCAGCTGCGAGAAGCTGCCGTCGTGCAGAGGGTTGAGCTGAGGCAGATCCAGAGGAGACACCGCCTGCACGATGCTCCACCTGTCACTCAGGCGCTCGCTCACCTGAACAGACAATCAACATGTATCATGTATGTATATGTATGTATATATATATATATATATGTTTTTATTGTTTTTATTGTTTTTAGTTTTTGTTACAATAATGAACAGACAAACAATATGAAAGCAGACAATTGAGACACAACATACTGATATACACCTGAACATCAGCAGGAGAGGACTCTTTAAAGTAGAGACACTACATACTGATATACACCTGAACATCAGCAGGAGAGGACTCTTTAAAGTAGAGACACTACATACTGATATACACCTGAACATCAGCAGGAGAGGACTCTTTAAAGTAGAGACACTACATACTGATATACACCTGAACATCAGCAGGAGAGGACTCTTTAAAGTAGAGACACTACATACTGATATACACCTGAACATCAGCAGGAGAGGACTCTTTAAAGTAGAGACACTACATACTGATATACACCTGAACATCAGCAGGAGAGGACTCTTTAAAGTAGAGACACTACATACTGATATACACCTGAACATCAGCAGGAGAGGACTCTTTAAAGTAGAGACACTACATACTGATATACACCTGAACATCAGCAGGAGAGGACTCTTTAAAGTAGAGACACTACATACTGATATACAGTGTAAAAGTAGAAGTACTCAGATCTTGTACTTGAGTAAAAGTAAAAGTACTCAAACTCATCACGACTTTTCCTGTTTAGATTTCACAGGAAGTGGACCGGCGAAGGCGTCTTAGTGTGACGTGTGCAGAGAGAGCTGCTGCTATCAAAGACACGTACCGGCCTCTGCATCCGCACGTCTACCACCTGCAGGTATATAACACCTCATCGTTATTAAAGGTCTCCTGTCGTGCAAAATGCACTTTTTCATGTCTTTTATACATACATATTTGTCCCCGGTGTGTCAGGAGACTCACAAAGTGAAAACCCTCTGTCGTTTCCACCGTACCTAAATCTCTAAAAACGAGCTAACAACGGAGCTGATCCAGATTTTCTGCCGTTATGACGTAATATCTGAAATGTGGGCGGGCTTTAGATCCACGGCCCTATCAGAAACTTCGCTGAGAATTTAGCTGAGTATTAAGCTACGGACCCAGAATCAGCACTTTAGTAACAGGGCTGAAATAGAGGGATTTGAGGCTAGAATGCATGATCTGTTTGGTATTTTGAGCAAAACACTTCATAGACATGTTTTTTATATATTTGTATATATCTGAGAGCTATAATATGTGCCTAAAAATTGCTTTTTTTCACGAAACTGTGTCTCAGGGCTTCTTAAAGGTAGGGTAGGTAAGTTTGAGAAACCGGCTCGGGATCGCTAGAATTTGAAAATACACAACCGGAGAAAATCTGCCACTTCCTTATAGAGGCCCTCCTCCAACACACACGAACGCGCACATGACCAATGAGGGCACGAGATAAGTTTGTGCACAGATGGAAGGCTGACAGGCAGGTAGGCCATCCAGTTATTTTAGCCGGGCCGGCTCAAATGATTGGTCGTGCTTTTTACAGTACTACGGCTTCCACAGATGACATTTTTGTATGGATTTTTTGTCAAAGCACTTCAGATATTCATTGCTATCGGGATGTTAAGAGCATTCCATGGAATATAACAAGTGTATCTCGAGTCGGTTTCTCAAACTTACCTACCCTACCTTTAACCTTTAACAAACTATGAATGTGTCATACCCACCTAACGGTAAGAAACTCAGCGAACTGACGATACGAACCATTTTTACCGAAACAAAACACAAGTCTCACAAGAAGCGTCTAAATGAGCCCTGAGTGATCGTGGAATGGGAAGCAAACCCAGACATCACACGACGTAGCTTTACGGAGCAAATACGGCAAATATGTCTTACCTTTTGCTGTTTCTGATCAAAAGTTGTGTTCAATGGCATTAAAATGAGAAAAACGCGGCTGAAGGTTAATCCAATGTGTCTGTGTCACTTTGAAATGATTACTGATAATCCATCACCATATTTATGTCAATAACGGAGTTTTCATATAGCTGCTATCATAGCTACCAGAGTGTATGGCAGCTTCCGGTTTTGGGCATTCTGGCTACGCATCACTCATTCACCAATGGGTAATGTTTAGATGGATTTTAGGAACTTCCCCTTGATTCTATTGGCTCTAACGGTTCAAAAGAGATGTCAATCATCAAAATCGACCGAAGGGGGCCAGAGATATGGCAAATGCACCCAAATGACCCCAGAAGTGTTTTCTTTCTTCTAAACCTCTCTAAAAAGGTTAAATGTCACTTGTTTTGCATCAATCTTGATACAGGGTACTTAGTATATGTTATAGTTTGGATTCCTAAAGCTTTTAGTCTACTATCCCACCATTCAAGGGTGGTTTTCACTATAAGTAATGTTTTTTTTGGACGGACACTATCATTTACATGTTTTAATATGTTCAATCTGAATTTAAAATAAAACAATTTTATATTGATTCTGACTCTTCTAAATCCAACTCACAGGTTTATCATTTCTTTGAGAAAAAAGATTATTCATTTACCCCTTTTAGAAGTGAAGATATAGTCATTTGTTCTGGGAATGTCATTTTCGAGCCTGAGACCTGAAAAACAGGTTAACAGGTTAAGGCAGGGATTATTAGCAGCGAGTTCTCCTTAGCAACGGTCTGTTCTCCTTAGTAACGGTCTGCTAGCTAAAATTGACAACCTCTGGAAAGTCCAAAATGAACAATCAGAATCGAGTATACAACTCAGCATACAGTAACACATCGCTGAAACACACCTGCAACCCCCCCCCCCCACTCTCTCCTCAGGAGTCCTACCTCGCTCCAAAGTTCAAGCAGATAGTGGATTTCTGCAGAGTCAGCGCCGTCAGGGGGGGGGCTCTCGGAGACTTGCTGCAGGAGGAGGCAGGTGAGAGGTTCACCTTTGACCTCCTCTTCGTGAATAATGTGCACTTTTAATGTCAATTACAGTAGATTTCATTTTATTTTTTGGTTGACTGAAGATTACGCCATGTGCCATGCAAGTCCCGGTTATACAGGATATAAAAAAGTCCTGAAATACATTTTAAATATGTTACAAAGACAGTGAAATTAACAGTTAAACCAAATATTAAAAGGGCCCTATTATGTTTTTTAGGGTGTTCCCTTTCCTGTAGTGAGTTATAAACATTACAAAGACGTTGAAAGGTGAAGCTGACGCAACACAAATGAATAATTCCCATTTTTCTCTGTTGACTTTAAAGAGTATACATACTGTTATGCACGTCTTAGTTAAAAAAATGTGGTTGAATCCCAAGTGTACAGATACTATCACATAAGGCCTGGTTATACAGGGCATACAAATGTCTTAAAATCCATTTTTAAATGTATTCAAAAAGCAAAAACATGGGAAGTATTAGCTCTCATACAAAAACATTTGTAAAAATGTTCCCTTTTAGGATGATGGAGTTGGTAAAATTGAAGTTGTTTTAATGACGATCTCAAATTAAAAGGATTCAGCAAACAGTATTTTTAAAGCAGGATATAAATAAAGGCGGATAACATTTTAATTACTTATTAAAGGAACAGAAACCCTCTTCTCTAGTGGCCTAATAATGAACAAAACTAAATACAAAACAGTCACCCCTGCACCTCATGTTTCCCCCCTTTATAACCATTGATTCCCATGTTTCTGTTGAAGCTGCCCGAGTTTATCGCTTCCCGGTGTTTGAGAGAAGCTTCTGTGAGCAGCTGGTGGAGGAGCTGGAGCACTTTGAGCAGTCCTCCGCCCCCAAAGGAAGACCCAACACCATGAACCACTACGGGGTAATTCAACCTCCAAAACACTATTTATTCACTGCACATTCACATTTAATACTTATGGTGCCATGACATTTTGATCTTTGACCTCCTGTAGTCCCTCAGTCAGGAAATATGAGAAGCTCGATGAAATATCAGAGGTTTCGTGCGAGGACTTTTATATAAATATAAGGGTCATGACAGGAACACTACATGTGAATAGGGTCAAATATTTAACTAATAGATATCACTATAAAACTTTCTCACTTTTTGTATTACAACCTTTATGAAATATTATGTTTATATGTGTAAATTAGGCATTTTCTTATCAAATATGTTTTATTTACGGAGTATTCCAGAACAGAATTGTGAACATTTGGTAAATCCATGTTAAAAAGTATTGTTTTATTTTGTTTGCATATTCAAATCAAGATTTTACAAGTTTTCTGACGTTTCATGTCTAAATATGCAAATTAGGCTTCATGTGATCCTAACTGTTGGTGAATTCAGGAGAAATCTACAGACCCAAACAGACAAAGTTAGTCAAATAAACTCCTGCGTTTTAGCTGCTTTCTTACCTCTAGTCTGAAAGTGTGTTATTCATGAATGTCCTCCAGATCCTGCTGAATGAACTGGGCTTCGACGAGGGCTTCATCACGCCGCTCCGCCAGCGTTACCTGCAGCCGCTCACCTCCCTGCTCTACCCCGACTGTGGGGGGGGCAGCCTGGACAGCCACAAGGCCTTCGTGGTGAAATACGACATGGACGAAGACCGGGACCTGAGCTACCACTACGACAACGCAGAGGTCACGCTGAACGTTTCCCTCGGAAAGGACTTCACAGAGGGAAACCTTTATTTTGGGGATATGAGACAGGTGAATATATATACTTGTAATACTACCCACACCTACACCCCCGGGTTATACTCAGGGTTTCCTTAAAAGGCATCTTAAAATGAGGCCTTAATTGGTATAATTAGTCATGAAAAATGGTAAGACATGAGAATTGCCATTACAATTTTGACGTTGCAGAGTAGAATTTCAAAAATGATTGGTAACGTGTTTTGAAATCACCTTTGGCATCGTACCTTAAAGTGACACAGACTTTAAGAAAACATTGAATGTTTTGAATGCCTTGTGCCAATATATTATCTAACAGCATGTGCATTTACTAAATTTGTCTTTCAAAATTAAACTATGTAGCAGATTTAAGTGCTAATTCACATTCTGGGTTTTAAAACTCCAGGACCATTTTTTG